ACGCCGTCCCTGTATCCTTATCTGTCCAACAAGAGAAAGCGAAAAGCTCGCCGGATGATGTTACCGTAAATGGACACAATTGACACGTCCGGGCGTAACGTTGAGACGCCGTAATCGCACGGCGCAAACGTGCCTCTTACCTTAAACACGGTAATGTTGATGCGACGTTGATGAAAGCTGGACGAAACTTCCGCGGAAGTTGCCGCTTCCCGATAGCAATCGATCGCATATGGAAACACGACCGTCAATCACGACTGTCGACCGTAAAACAGAACTGAATTTCAAAGTCTCTCGCGGTCGAAACGTTTGTTATCGTATTTTGCGCTGAGCTTTGTGAGCTTTCATCACGTTCTAATAGTTCATTCAATAGTTAGTAACTTCTAATCGTTTATCTAAACTTACCCGGCTGAAAAATTGTCTGTAATCTTATGAATTTACAATTCACTCTGCGATTATAAATTTATCATAATACTAAGATCTATCAGAGATCTATCATGTGACACTTTTTACTCAAAGTGATTCATTACGCGTAAAATATCATCAAAGTCCCCTCAAAATATGAAAAAAAAAAAACATGCTTCTATATTATATGTTCGATATGGAATGTTGTGAGAGAAGCATAACACCGTACAATTGTCATCACGATGTATCGGTAAAGACCGTTTTAACGAGACGCGAGAGTCCATGAATTCTCTCGGTTAAAGCGAGCGATCAGTCAATCCGTCAATTTAACATGCGACGTCTGTTGGAGGGATCGTCGAGGGTGGAAGACGAGGCATTGTCAAACGACCCTTGCGGACGAGTCTGTTAAATTTTCATTAGAACCTCATCCACCTTCGTGTCCGACAAGCTCGCCTAACTTTTACACGAGATGAGATTTGTAGTTTGTTCTCCGTTCCGCTTGACCGGCCGCACACTAGAAAACTGAACGATTGCGATTTCGACGATTCTCCGTCGCAAACGGCTCGACCGAACTCTGCGCACAGGAATGCGTTACACCAGAACTGTTATTCCCCCGGAGGAAAATGATCTGTTCTAAAGGGAAAATCGCTGTCGAGGGAGAAACATCTCTATGTTAAAAAAATGTTAAAAAATCCTAAGGTCAACAATGTCCTATGCGTGTAAATATTCTAACAGTTCGCTTGATTTCTTTCTAAACGTATGGACGATTTTATCGATATGCCATGAAATATAATATATTTATTGGCATGAGGCATCTTTCTTCGCGAAAGATTTCCTTAATTTCAACATTATCGTTTCAACATATCGTTTCTCACAGCCGAATCAGAAAATAACCATGTCATTAGACCTGCGTGTTTATTCCCGCGAAGTTTCGGATCTCTCAGAATCTGACAATCGACGAGCCCTCAGCAAGCCAATGATTCATCGGAGGAAGTGCGCAATGCGCCCTCGTACACCCTGTATACTTGTAGAGCGGTTTTGGCAACCCGGACTCTCTCGTTCGCTCCCGAGCTGCGGGTTCCGGCGAAAGAGGTGAACGTATTGTTTACCGACGTTCCATCCCGATGGTTTCATCGCCGGGCGCCGATGTCAGCAGAAATGGCGTTGCAAATAAAGCGAGGGAAGCGGGAACGACCGAGGTCCCGCCGGCCGGATTCGTTCATCAAAACGCACGCTGCATGCTCGTGTTTCCAACGTGGTGAAACCAGCGAAGCGTTCGCCGCCGAGAGATTTATTCGTCTCAATGATAGTACGTGCGATTAGACTTTATCACTCATTTTCGCGCCGCACGCTCGGGAATGCACTCGCCCTTGAACTCCCCGAGTACTTCCCTCTGTACAACGACTTTTGACACCGAAAGTGCACATCTGACTTCCCGAGAGCTTCCGTGAGATACAATTCCACGCGTAACTTTCGACATACGGGGTACTTCAGAGCAATCGTATCTTCTTCGTCGTTCCTCCAACTGTCGCCGAAGCGGTTTGTACTTCGCGAGATTTTACGCTCGCGTAACTCCCAGCGTGTAAGATATTCCGAATCAATCGTCTCTTTTTCGTCGTTCTTTCAGTCGTCGGTTTTTGCGACAAATGTATCGGCACAGTGACTTGATCATTTACAAAGGATTGCACCCCTCACGGATCACTTTGGGTCGTTTTTGACGGGACTAATTGGATTTGTTTCATCGGGGGGGGATGTGAATGAGAGAAGGTTCAAGAGAAAACGTCATAATGGTGTATCCGAAACTGTCAGCTCTGACGTTTATTTTTAAGAAGAAGTATAATAAGTACTTTATGTACATATGTGTGCGTATGTGTGTGTGTGTGTGCGTGTGAATGTGTGTTTGTGAGGTGCAACGAGAATTAAAACATTTCTAACCTTTAAGGCGAATTGGAGATAGACCACAGACTTCTTTATACCGCATTGGATTGCTAACGGCGACCTGAAACGTGACGCCGGCCGCCATTTGTCAAGTAGACGGATCGAGCATATGCGAGACAACGTGCGCAAAAGAATCCGATACCTCCAAAAACCTGCTTATTTCTGCATTCGAACACACAATCACTGGCAAATGTCGTGTCTTTACGTTTATGATCGGCGTTAATAATGAACGTTAACGTATATCCGAAACTGATGTATGCTTAAAAGGCGTCTCAAAGACGTCGTTTAAACGTCTTATCGTCACAAAGACGTTTTTGCGATGCCTTGGGACGTCTCGATGTTCCCTACGTACAGTCGCCTACACAGCAAGGTGGCAAAGTTCTGGAAGACCTCGTGCATGACATTTTCACCTACCCGACAAATGGCCGCCAATCCTCTCCCTTACATCACACATTGTCCCACGAATCTTACGCGGATACACAGCGCTCTCTAAGCACGTCACATGGAAATCCGCGAGGTAAACCGACCGCAATGAACCGCCCGATACAATCCAATGCGACAAAACAATAACATATCATCGTATATCACTTGATATCGGTAGCGTGCTTTTCACGTCCGCAATGTTACGTACGGCGCGTATTTGCAAACATCGTATCGCATGATCTTTCCGAATCCGTCCTGTGTTTGTCAAGCGTTCGTGTGATAACACGGTTCAACGTTCAGAAATGCATTGTAACGCCGGGAGAGTATCAATGCCGTTCGCCTCTCGCTTTTCACGGGTTCTCTGTCGCGACAATGACGCTACAATCGAACGCGAGACTCGATTATATTGACAGCGAGTTACTTCCGACGAGCCTTTTGCGGTTTTAACGAAAGGAAGAAAAGAGAAAGGATTTCATGATGAACGTGTTACGTTTTAGAAATTACTAGACCTAGATATTTTACACTTAGAACGCCGATGCTAAAGTTGTTGACAACATGTATGAGGATCCCTAACGGTTTATAATTGTACGGTCGAAAGAGCGGACACTACTCCCTCTAAAGCGGAAAACATACGGATAATAACGTAGATATTGCAAACAAGAGAGAAGCACTGTTTCTTTCATTTCTTTTTTCTTCTTTTTTTTCCTTTACATAAAAACATTATTGCAAATGTATCTCTCGTAAATTTCAATATACGTGCAATTCGATCACAGGATACTCAAGATGACGTTTCTGAAATATTGTACACGTCAGCACGGTATTCGGATGGTACACACACTTCGTGTACCATCGAACAAATTCTCCCCTTTCTTCGAGTAATTCTTTTGGTACCCGCCTTGAACGATTTTCCCGCAGCGTGCGTCTGAGATTTAAAATTATCGGGATATACTTGATTATTTTATCCCTTTCGCTCAGTTCCATCACGAGACTGCGCACTCTAGAATTCATAGAAATAACGCCTATGGTCACATTTGCCATGTTGGCCACAGCCTGGTTATAGCTTTGTTTACAAACTTCCGACGATAAGATCTATACAACTCGAGTCGCAAATCGAGCTGCAGCCGAACGTTCGCCTCGTCTGTCGCATAATGCATAAATTATGTCCGTCAAGCGCGAAAGGTTTCACGAACGCGACCAAGATGTAACCAAATCGTAACGGAGTGCACGCAACGAAAAACATACGAAAGCACAAATCCCAAAAATGATATGTAAATCTACGCTCAGTCGTACCCTCAATCTATCACTCCCTCTCTCGCTCTCTCTCTCTCTCTCTCTCTCTACCACTTTCTCCTTCCTCACACATAACAGATTAACGGAAATTAAATTACAATACTTCATTACGGATAATTTGGCACGAATAAGTTCATTTTTACACCGAAATATTTTTGTAAATAACAGAGAGTTTGATATCACCATAATTTCAATAAGTTCAGATATTAATACTAGGCACATAAAAGTCATATACCAATCTTCATATTTATTTGTTGACAGCGTAAACATTAAATTCGCCGCAGAATACATTTGGCGTTACCTTCGAATGCAAGAGAAATGTTAAAACGTTCTGGTTTTTTTTTTCTTTTTAAGGTGACTAACGCTCCACGCGCGTACGCGTACAGCTTCATATTATATTACGTATATTTTCTAGAAGCATTTTCAGAAAGAACGCATCGTGTCGTAGGCGTGTCATACGTAATGACACATTTGCAACGGCAGATTTTGGCATTTTGAAACCCTCAGGCGAGATTTGATATGACGATCTCTCTCTAAAATTCCGAAGTACACAATATCTCTTTTCTTTTTCGGAAGTGGAAATCGTGCTGGTCCGTTAATGTACGAGAGAAAAGCAAATATATTGTCTCTTTATACATTTGTCCTAGCTTTTATGAAAAAATAATCACATAAATATTACATATATATCTCGTATAAATATATAAACGTCTGAACAAAAAGAAAGAACTTCAAACATACGAACAAAAATATATATAAAATCACATATATACAGGGTGTCCCACAATTTGGCACATTCTGTTAATAATTGAAAACCCTTTTAATATATTTTAATAGTTTAAAGAACAAATTAACTTATCCAAAATTATATATATACACATATATATATATATATATATATATATATATATATATAAAGCAAATAAAATATAAAATTTATATTACGCTATATGGATCTCTATTATGTACGTCTGACATTTTTTTAAGAGGGATAGAATGATTATAAACCTGGAGCAAGCCTCTACCTCCTCATGACGTATTGACTTTACATTGCGTAATATGTAATCCCAATAAAAAGTACAATATATGTATAACATTAAAACACCATATTTTGTTATTCCTTTTTCTCAATCATTAATATAGGGCTCATGCAATTAATAGTGCAATAATAAAAGGATTTCTGTATAGATATCGTACAAACAATGATTTGGTCTTGATATTTCTCGTCAGAAATGATATTTACACATATGTGTTCTGCCACTTTTTGAGATTTACGCGTCATATTTGATATCAACGGCCTCGAAAATTTTTATGCACGCGTAATAATAAGAAGAACACAAAGGTTTGCAATTTGCGATATTGAGGTAGAAGCTATAGAGACATGCATCAGTATCCAGACACGATGCATTGGATCGAAAATTTACCTATCTGAGGGATACTAACGAGCTTACGACGCTCAATGTGCACCTTCCCGCATTTGTAAAATCAAATAAAAGTCCAAAATCATATAACAAGGTTTCAATTTCCAGGAAATAAATAGAACGCGCGCGTATCGAGTTTCCTTCGACACACATAGTATCTGAACTTGAGACGATAATTATCCGAATTTCCAAACAGAAGTCCGGGCAAATTCAGACAGGCCTTGAAACACGATCGGAATCTTGACTGTAATCTGTGAGAGATCAAGTGAGAGACGAATGGATGCGAAACGTCTGCTAAGCGCCGCAAACGAGAAACTAGAGAATGAAAATTGAGTGAAACGAACGAAAATCGGGCGGAATCATGTCGAAAATTTTCCTCGAGTCGATCAAATTGCGAAAGTCAATTCGAAAGAATTTTCTTTTTTTCTTTTTAACATGTCCGTCGAGTCAGATACTCGATGGCGATGAGCCAGAAATTGCGTGTTAGTATCCAGAATTTTTAACCATTTCTGGTCGTACTTGCATGGCGTGAACTTTGGGATTCTAATTACGCAGTCCGAGCCCTTCAATCGGGCCGTCTCAATTTGCAATATGATGGCGTTTGTTCCTAAAAATCCATATCTGAAGCCACACAGCACACTTATACACGCGATGAGAGAGACTTTCAAGATTCCGAAACTGTGTCAAGCCCCAAATCCCAACTCACCCAGGTCTTCACGACGATTTCGGTGCCACCCGCACACGCGTTCCACTTAATAATATTACTCACAATCAAACGTAACTATATGAAAACCATTTGCTAAGAATTACATAACAAACAGGACATGAATTCCTTAATATTACTTAACGTAAGCTTTTCTCTCGGTTTGCTCAGTTTTTGCTCTACGATCTTAGCGATCTTTCTCTTTCTTTCTCTTTTTTTGCCTCTGTATGTTCGCACAATATTCGACGAAAGTCGCCCAGCCTAACACATATATGCTATGTTGATTCATCTAGATGCCTTAGGACCTATTGATACTTTAGTTACGCGAAGTAACCCTCTTATACATGTTTTACAAAGTCAGCTTTGATAACCGAGGCTTTTGACGTCACGGCGCCTTGAATGGAAAAAGAAACTGCGATATAAATCGGGAAATTGAGCGTTATATACACGTATAGCTTAGAGTGTGCTTAGGGCTTAAGTCTCGATTGAAACACTGCTTCTCACCGATCCCGCCAATTCTTTGCAATCCGTGGTCAAGCTGCAAACAACCGAACAATCGACCGTTCAAGTAAATATGTTATGCGATGTTACACGATGTTCTTCAGGGCAAAACTTGGATCGTTTGTAATCCGGTGCAAAATTGTATGCACAGATTTTCTGTCTAATTAAGCACAATCGTTCGAAAAGAATCATGCGTTACGCAAACCGTATTCGTTTAAAACCGACTTGATTCGAGAGATTTTGCAACGTGTCGATGTCAAAATCAGGCGTAAAAATATAAGGGCTTTTTGTTTTATGAATATAATCCCGGAATGCCCGACAAATTAAGTTTAAGTCGGTTAACTCAGATTTACACGGATCCGAGATTATAATCCCTTGCAAATCCGCGCGTGAGAATCCGCTTTGTGCCGAATTAGCATTTCACGCGTAAATTTTCGATACGAGATGCGATTTACGAGGCCGCTTTGAGCAAAAGCTCGTGGGCTTTAGCTTCGGGGCCAGATGTACAAAGCATTTCAGTCCGAATCTGAAATGAACGCACGGAATGTCGCACACTGTAACGAACGGTTTGTGTTCGTCGTAATATATTAGGTTGGTGGTGCGAAAGGCTGGCCGCATTTGTCAAGTAAAGCGAGAAAGGAAATTATCCAATTTCGGGGGATCAGTAATTTTTACGATTCGAATGAATAATATCGACTCGATATTTGTTCAACGTCTAACGAAGAGAAACTTCTTATTTCCTGATTGCAAAATAATAAAAAGGCTCTTCGACACACACGTAATCAAACTATATACGACAGTTAACCAACACAAATGAAAGCCAGAGCATCGTTGTAAAATGGCGAGTAATTTATTTTTTTAACAGCAATTTTGTCCTGTTCAAATTAAATTTATCATTATCGTTCAAATAAATGGATCCGCCTCTTCCCATTTTACGTTCTCCTGTTCTTTCCTTTCACATATCCAAACGAATCCCGCGGGAATTTCAGAGGGAAGTGACGACGAGTCTTTCGCGCCGACCTGACATATCACTGAATTGATTGACTGTTATCACTCACCAATGGAGAATCCACTGATCGACCGGCAATGGAAGATTCTTCAAGTCCAACAAGCGCCCCCTCGGCGCTGTCGATGTCACAGGTAGACCTCGGGGCTCGCAGGCGCCGGTTGGTGTTGCTGCTGCGGATGCGGCTGCTGGCTCTGCGTCCGGTGTTGCTGCTGCTGCGACGTCTGCTGCTGATGGTGGTTCTGGTTGTGATTGTGATGATGGCTCTGTTGCGTCCTCAGCATCTCGTATCGCTGCTTGTAAAGATCGCACTCCTGCTGCAGCCGCGACAGCTCGAGCTTCGTGCGCTGCAGCTCGTTCTGCAGGTTCCGATTGGTGGTCTCGAGGTCGTGGCGTTGCTGCAGCCGCTTGCTGCGGCAGTTCTGCGCGTAGCCGCGATTCTTCAGCGTCCGCCGCTTCTGCTTCAGCCTCACGACCTTCGCAGAGATTATTTTCATGCGACCGGACCGAACGGACTGGTGTCGTTTCACACACGTCAGGTCAGATATCCGCGGAATAACGCAACGATACTCGAGAAAACAAGCCACGACGCCGTCTCTCTTCGCCAATCGAGGAAAATTCAAAGAGACCTCACCTCCTCCCGCGGGCAGCCGTGGAGGCGTTTGTTGAGCTCGCGGACCGAGAGCGACATCAGGAGCTCGTCGTTCATCAGCTCGTCCTGCGGATTTGAGCCGTTGCAGTTGGAATACAGGCCGTTGCCGGCGCGATGGGCCGGGCTGGGCCCACCGGCGCCGCACGAGCTCACCGAGCACACGCTCAGCGGCCTGCCCGGCTGCAAGGACATGCCCTGCATGCTGTCCTCTATCCCCTGCATCACACCCCCGCCTCCGGGCAGCATCCCTCCTGCGGTCGGTCCGCCGTAGTAATCGAGGTGGCTCGACATCGTCAGGTAACCACCTGCAACACGGTACACGCGGTAACGAGGAATTTCGACATCGTCCGGCGAGCGTACAGCGGGACGCCTCAACGTTTAACTCGACGTGTTCTTCCTGAGAAAAACACCTCTGATGAAGATCGAACCTCGTGGAGGGG